CAACTTTATAATCTATCTCTATACTCTGTTGTGTGCTCACCGCCTGAAGTCTTGTCTTCTCTGTCACCATGTGTTCCATCCTCTTGGGTATGTAGTAGGAGGATACTTCAGAGCACCCCTTTTTCCGGTTCTCCATTCTAAGCCTTCCCAGCTGTTTGGCAAGAGCTACTAGTTAAGGCTTCCACAGGTCCCTCCCAAGGGCATCTGCCCTCCACCGGAGCATTGTTGAACCAGCCCCAAGCCCCTGACACCTGGCCTCAGACCTGAAGGGGGAGAGGTAAGCTGAGCACCCCCGCCCCTGTCCTGACTTCTTGCCTTCCTTCCCCGATTCCTTTCAGCCTTGCCTCTTTAACCCCAGGAAAAGGTCCAAGGTCTAGTCCCCTTGGCCTGTGGAAAGAACAAGGACTGTTTCTCAACTCCTGCCTTGACCTCTGTTCCACCTCAACCTTACTTGAGAGGTGGGGGTAGGGGGCAGCTGTCTTCTCTGAGCTGGTTGAAGGGGCCATTACCATGTGCGCATACAGGCTACTGCCCATCTGTGCCTCCCTGAAAAAGGCTCCTAATAAATTCAGAGCAGCCAAATGACACACATCTCAATTTAGGCTAATCTACCGCGTTAATGACACCTTGCATAGGCTGTATTAAACCCCTATTGATGGAGATACAGATGGCCCCTCTCACCCAGCTCTTCACCGCTGTTCCTCTGTCCCTAACCTCCTCCAGTTCTCCTCTGACCTAGAGGCATCCAGAGTTCCTGAGTCCCACTAGTGTCCCTTTCCCTTCCTCCTACCAGAGGGGGCCTGGGAGAGCCAGCAGGAAAGAGAAACCTGCAGGAGAGACTTGAAGAGGAGGCGGGCTCCTGGGCAATGACAGGCAAGGTCTGGAATAGGGAGTAAGTGTAGCTGGGTGGTTTTTAGAAGTTCACATCTACTGCCTGGGGAGGGCCTGGGAGAGGTTGTGCATGAGAATGGAACGATGACTGGTAGGATCTGAAGTGTGTCTGGGCAGCCTCAAGGCAGACCAAACCAGAATGCACAGTGATTTTCAACTTTTTTTTTAAAAGATTTTATTTATTTATTTTTAGAGAGAGGGAAGAGAGGGAGAGAAACATGGATATGGGAAAGAAACATCAATTGGTTGCCTCTCGAACTGCACCAACTTAGGGCTGGGCTGAAGCCCAGGCATGTGCCCCATCGGGAAATGAATCCGGAGACCTTTTTTTTTTTTTCGGTTTGCAGGCCGATGTTTCATCCACTGTGCCATACCTGCCTGGGCTGAACTTGTTTTTGATTCTGGAACACTTTCTTCAAATGAAATCTCTCCAGAAAGCATTAAAACAAAATAAAACAACAAAAACAGACAAAAGCAGGGCTGCTCTGGTTGAAACAGATCAAAACACAGCCAGACTGGTGTTCCATCCCTGAGGCTGGCCCTGAGTTCCAGTCCCTGAGGGGGTTTCTGCGTAGGGCCCCAAAGAACACAATTTGAAAAAGCAAATGGAGAAAAAAAATATTAGATTAGGGGTCTCTCAGACCTGGTTCCCAGTTCCACTACTTAAAAGCTCTGTGACCCTTAATTATTACTGCAAGTCTCAGTTTCCTCACCTGAAAAATGTGATTGTACTTTTAATACTGATGCATTCTTGTTAGGGGACAGATAATGAGATAAAGGCACACAGTAAGTACTCATAATTGATAGCAGCGATTATCCGTATGGGAGAAATACCAGGCCTGGCTCAAAATCAAATCTGTCCCAATGGAGAGGTTCTGGCTGCATCTCAGGTGTGATTGGCTGAGAGGCATGTATAAGTTTATGGGGATATTGGACATTCATGTGAGAGGGGACTGAAGTTTTTGAGGATGTGGTGTATAGCATGTGGTGTGCAATGGTGTGGTTTTCGTTAATCCAATAAATATCTTGAACACCAACTGTGCACCAAGCACAGTTCTAGGTGCCCAGCAATGAACAAAACAAAATCTAGTGTATTTATCTGTGCATAAAACCTTTGCGTATATACCTTTTTCCCCTTAGGCTGCTGTTTTCCCATTCTATCCTAGGGCACCCCACTCAGGAGTAGCTTTATGGTGGTGGCTGAGGAAGGGGACAGTGAACCTGTGGGGAAACACTTCTGGGAACCGGATAACCCGGAGGCTTTATCCCCAGGGACCTGGTCTGTGCCTTCTCCTTCCTCCAGAGTCTTCTCTCCATGGAGTTTGGCCTACTCAGCGAGGCGGAGGCCCGGAGCCCGGCCCTGTCGCTCTCAGATGCGGATACTCCCCACCCCGTGCTCCCAGAACACGGTTGCAAGGGCCAAGAACACAGCGGTGAGAGCGCCCCCTTCTGGGAGTAGGGGAGATAACAACTGAACCCATAATAGGGGTGGAGCTCGGGTGGGAGTGAGGGGCCGATGGAGAACGTACCCCAGCCTGGGAATTCCTATGACCTGCCCCCATCCGGCCGCAGACTCGGAGAAGGCCTCGGCTTCGCTGCCCGGAGGCTCCCCCGAGGACGGCTCGCTGAAGAAGAAACAGCGGCGGCAGCGCACGCACTTCACCAGCCAGCAGCTGCAAGAGCTGGAGGCTACCTTTCAGAGGAACCGCTACCCCGACATGAGTACGCGCGAAGAGATCGCTGTGTGGACCAACCTCACCGAGGCACGCGTGCGGGTACGACGCTCCCAGATTCGCAGCCCTCATTCCACCCCGGCCATCCTCTCTGGCCATTTAGCAACTATCTTAGAAATCCGCAGCCTGTGGTTCTGCCCTGCCTGTCCCATCCTCGGACTCGACACTTGACGTCCCAAGGCCCCGGACCGCTGCCCCACACGGCTGTCTTTCCTCCAACTTCAATATTACTCCAGGCCGCGCGCTTCTCACCTCGAGACTATCGCTTTTTCTCCTCGTCATCCCTCCTTGACCCCATCCTACTGCAAGCCCCCCACGTCGCCCACGTCGCCCACGTCGCCCACGCTTCTGTTCTCAGGTCCCTGACTCCGTGTGCTCCTCCACTATCCCAATTCCCGTCTCCGGCCATCTTATCTTGTTTATCCTCATAACTCCCGGGCTTGAACCCCGATCTGGGTGACCCACCCACCAGCAGCACTGACCCGGTCCAGGACCCCGGCTCGGCTCCCAGCCCTGACAGCCTTTTCTCCCACGCCCGCCCGCAGGTATGGTTCAAGAACAGGCGCGCCAAGTGGCGGAAGCGCGAGCGCAGCCAGCAGGCGGAGCTGTGCAAGGGCGGCTTCGCGGCCCCTCTCGGGGGGTTGGTGCCGCCCTACGAAGACGTGTACCCCGGCTACTCTTATGGCAACTGGCCACCCAAGGCGCTCGGCCCGCCGCTCGCCGCCAAGACCTTCCCGTTCGCCTTCAACTCAGTCAACGTGGGGCCTTTGGCTTCGCAGCCTGTCTTCTCGCCACCCAGCTCCATTGCCGCCTCCATGGTGCCCTCGGCCGCGGCCGCTCCGGGCACCGTGCCAGGGCCCGGGGCCCTGCAGGGCCTGGGCGGGGGGGCCCCCGGGCTGGCTCCGGCCGCAGTGTCCTCCGGGGCAGTGTCCTGCCCCTACGCCTCGGCCGCCGCAGCTGCTGCAGCAGCCGCTTCCTCTCCCTACGTATATCGGGACCCATGTAACTCGAGTCTGGCCAGCTTGAGGCTCAAGGCCAAACAGCACGCCTCTTTTAGCTACCCCACGGTACCCGGGCCGCCTCCGGCAGCCAACCTCAGTCCGTGTCAGTACGCTGTGGAAAGGCCTGTATGAGTGGCCCGGCCTGTCGGTCATCCCCAAGGGCGAGGTCGATAATTCACAGCCTCCCTGGACTGGGGTCCTCTTGACTGCCTTGATCCCGCCCCGGGTCTGAGAGGGATGCAGGGGCAGCTGGGGGGAGGGAAGCGGCCGGCTCGTTCCTCTGTCAACCCTGAGGGGTGGACTGGGCCTGACACACAGTCCGCGCCCCTGGGACTAAGGCCAGGAACAGGGACCAGTTCCCCCGGGGCCAACTCACCCTTGGCCCACCTCGCCTTCTCCAGACTCCTCCTCTCCCATTTATCAGTTTCCAAGATAAATGAAATAAATGTGCACAGGACTGTCAAAGGCCTGATGTTTCAGAGTTGCGGTTGAGCCCACTCCCCTCATCTTCCCCACACGTTTAAATAAGAGCTGGGTGTACAGGAAGGACCTGAGGATCCAACTTCTAGGGCTTCAGTGCCCCTCAGTCGCTAACGCCAAGATTGGCAAGTCGGGGGGGATACTCAGAGCAGAGAGGCGCATTCGTGTTTGCATGTTTGTGTGGCAGGCCTGGGGAAGAGCGACTAAGACGGCGTTGGCCAAAGCTAGTGCTGCGGCGCCACCTTGTGATCCCATAGAGGATAACTGTAAGATCTTTGGAACTCTTGCAGGTGTCGCTTCTGCAATTTAGGAAGCCTATGACCTTAGATATGTTACTCCGCCTTTCTGTACCTGTTTCTCACTGTTCCAACGAGGGGCTTGAGCCTCTAACAGCAATAAAATTCTGGTCTGTAACAGACATTTATTAAGTGCTTACCAGGCCTAGGATTCTTATTGAGTGTCTGTGTGTGTGCCTCCCATCCTCCCATAAATCTTCTTAGACTTCTCACCTACTTATCATCCCCCTGCCAGCTGCCATCTCCCATCACAGCATACTCCTTCTTCCCCCAAATTCTCAAAATCCCAAAATCTTGCTTAAATATTTAATTAAAAATAGAGCAAGAAAAGGAAGGTTTCTATATAGAAATATACATAACTCAGCTCTGGAGATCCTTCTCAGTCCCAGTCCCGTCCTGTGGCCTGCTTGGCCTTCACATTAAAAACATAAACATCAAAATACTAGATCACACCCCGTTCCCAGGGTTTATGTTTCTGGCCTGTCATAACTTCCTGCCACCTTGGGAAACACATCCTGTTCATTCTCCCAAACCTAAACCATAACCCTCAGTGCCCTGGGGAAGAGAGACCCTGGAGCTGCTTCTTTTTTTCCAAACTTTTACTCACTCTTGGTCTTGGATTTAACCTTGGGCATTATGTAGGCTTGATAGAAGAAGTGAGCAAAGAGGATGAAATACGTCACATACAAGGCGATGGCCCAGAAGAGGTGTTCCGTCGTGGTGGTGTGACATCCCTTTTCCTGTCTCCATATGTAAGCCAGGATGATGACAGTGGCTCCCGTAAACATCTGCAGGATCTGCAGGCTGGTGATGAGCCTGGGAAACCACGTGGGGGACTTGACTTTGGCAGCCTTCAGAGTGTAGTAGGTGTACATGATGGCATGCACACCAAAGTTCATGGTCATGAACCAGCCACCTGCAGCCATCCTGTCCTTGAATCCAAAGCTTGAGAACACTAGCACTGTGCTGTGGTGGAACCAGTGTATAAAGATGAGTGGCCGCTTACGAAGGATGATGAAGGCTGTGTCTCCTGGGAAATGGGGAGTCATAGCTGGCATACCACCCAGTATCAGGACCACCCTCCGCTGTCAATGTGGGGGCACAGGGGGGATTCTCAGGGTGTGAAGAGGTGTCTTTTTGGCAGAGAATCTGAAGAGGGGTTTGGCTGAGAGGTATTGTTAGGACCCAAGGGTTGGGAAGGGACTTTCCATGTGATGGGTGAGGGGGGCTCTGAGAAAGGATGCAGTTGACTGGGTACCAGAGAGACAAAATCTTGCCACTCACCAAGTTCAATGACCTTGCTCCAAACAAAGATGCTGGACCAGAATTTGATTATGGTATGTTCGATGAAGGTGGAGAAGCACACAGTATCCTTTGATCTATCCCTGAGTACCAAGGACCCCATAAAGCCCCATGTCCTCACTGCCCCAATGATACTGAAATGGGATAAAACAAAAGGGTGTAAGTTCATTCCCAAATACCAATCTGCCCTTCCCCTTCAGCCTGGTCAGGTTACTGTCCCAAGACCTGTCACTTTCCCACCCTTCCAGGAGTCACAGCTCCTGAGATCCTGGGGCCAGTCTGATAAATTCAACCAGTAATCTAGAGGAGATGAGGGTTGGGAAAGGACCAGCTAATGCTGGAGGATGGGACTGAAAGTTGAGTTAGGGGACAGAGTTTCGGGTTGGGTAGAAGCCAATGAGGGGACAGGTGGCAGTATGGGGGAGATTGATGGGGGAGAAAATATGGGAAGGAGGGGCTAGGGAAGTTATTGGATGATCTTGGGAAAGGGAAGACTCTGGAGAAATTTGTGGGAAATACACAGACTCCATGAACACAAGAGGACTCCTGAGAGAACAGAAACTGTCACACTGGAGACTGAGGAAGAAGTAAAGAGGAAGCTGGGGAGGGGAGCTGGAGCTGAAAGAATGGGATAGGGAGAGCTGGGGGGCAACTTGAGGAGTTGATGCAACTGAGATTTCTAGAAAGCTTTTAGGGGCAGAGGGAGGATCTAGGGTGTACAGAATAAGTGAGGAGTGTCTTACCTGAAGATTGAAAGACAAAAGGACCAAAGGATGAGAGGCTTCTGCAGGTTGAAGCCCTTCCGTGCCTTCATGTAGTTCTGCCCCACAAAGATGAGCAGTAGGTAGATCAGAGCAATGGGGAATGAGATTGCCCTGGCAGGCAGAAGGAAGAGGGGATGGGCTCATGGGTGGGTGCTGGTTAGCGAAATGCCCATTTATCTAAGTGAGTGATCTGAGTTGGAGTCCCAGCTCTGCCACTTACTAGATGTGTGACATTGGAAAAACTACTTAGTTCTCTGAGCCTCAGTTTCCTTATTTGTAAAGGAGGAATAATACTCCTCTCCTGACAGTGTTAATATAGAAAGTACCTAACACATTGCAGGGGCTGTGTCCAAGGTTTTCCGGATTATTGCTCTCTCAGTGGAGCTGGAAGTGGGTGACAATTGCTGGCCCATGCCTAGAATCAACTCAGGGCTGTGGTCTAAGAATGTGGCAATAGCTTCCACCTGGCTGGATCACAGCAAACTAGCTGCAGCACACAGTCAACCCACAAACACCTCTAAGGAGACTTAGGTCAAAGCCAGAGAGCCTGGGAAAATCTTGAAGAGCTCCCGGACTTGCCTCCTTCTCCACAGCAGGGACGATGGAACACTTGGTGAACAACGTGATAATTGTGAAGGGCAGGCTGTCCCTGGACACCAGCACTATGTGTGCAGGCTCACACAGTCACACAAGGTCACAAAACACAAAGAATTATCTATAGGCTGGTGGGACTAGAGTTTAAATCAACTGCATTCCTCAGAGACCATTTCTCACTACTCTCTTTCCCCTTGGTTTCTGTCTCCTCTCACATTCTTCACCCCATCCTCTTATTTCGGCTTCTCTGCCTCTCTCTCTCTCTCTCTCTCTCTCTCTCTCTCTCTCTCTCTCTCTCTCTCTCCACCCCCCACCGCCCCTGACCCTTGCCCTTCTTTCTTCGAGACCTAATGTCTTTGAGGTACCACTACCTGCACCTCCGAGAACGGGGATGTGGAGCCAGTGCAGGAGAGCCCGATACCTTTGCTTTTTAAGGAAATCATTGCGCGCAATGTCTCCTCCACCCCCCCAATTGCGGTGATCAGGCTCGAGTCCCTGGCACGGCCCTCCCTCTTCCCCAGGTCTCACCAGTACTTTTCCAAAAAGGGCCTCAGGTTCCAAGACCTCTCGAAGTTGTAGGGCTGGAGACATTCCTCCGAGCCATTCATGACTGTGCCCATTTCGTTCTGCAGACGTTAAGGTCAGGAGCTTGGGGAACCAGGTGAAAGGTTGGGGGTACCCAGGATGCAGCGAACCTTGGGACGGGACACAATGGACCCAGGACCCAAGGAACTCCGCGGCAAGCCGAGGAGCGTAGGATTCAGGGTCATGCACTACGGTCCGACCCCATTCCACCGCAGCCGCGGCTGCGGTATATAACGCGGAATTGCACAGCGGCAGGTCCAGGCTGTGAGCGGCCACCTCCTTGCACCCCGCAGTTATCCAATCTCGACCAAGACACGCCTCCGCCCCGCTGCAATTCGCTCTCTGATTGGTCGTCCTTTTACACACACACACACACACACACACACACACACACACACACACACACACACACACACACACAGAGAGAGAGAGAACACATACGTATACAAACCCCTGCCCTAGACCCTGGCCACCCCCTTTCTAATCTTTTTCTCCCCCAACATCTCCACTCTCGCTTGCTTGGCTTAATCTCTATGGCCTTTTCAGGTACTTGGACGTGCCAGTCTTTCCCTGGAAGGGCCAACCTCAACCTTTGCTTTAGTTTGTTTTAATCCTGACCTACCTGGCAGTGAGGAGAGAGTGGAGGTGTCTTCAACCTCTAGTAACCCGACCCAGAAATGAGGGTGTAAGTCCTCCTTACGCTCCCCCTCCCCCGCCGCTTCCTTGAAACCCTGGAAAACCCAGGCCGGCGTTGAGGATGAATCATGCTAGAGAAGTAGCAGCGAAGAGTCTCTCCCATAGTCCCATGTGCCTCCTTCAGGTCTGCCTCCAGTGGTTGTGGGAGGGAGGGAGATGAATTTTAATGAATTTTATTATTGGGGTGGTTGATGTTGATGTTTGGGAAGATGGTTGTTGAGGCTGCTGTGGTTTCTTTACAATTTCCTGAATTCTTGAACTGCTCCAGCCCGACATCCTATAAGAACCCTGGGGAGAAAATAGGGTCTTCTGGCCTTCTGGGATTATTGTCTTAAAGTTTCCTGACGGCCTCCTACAGTTTATAGAAGAGGAGCAGTGTCCTCTCCTTTCTCCGGGTCTGTGCTTGCCTAATTAAATCTACTTTTTCCTTGCCTGTGTACTCAGCCCCAAAGAAATAAATATTTTTAAACTTTCAAGGCCTTACTTTTCTGTTCCTTATTTCTCTCCTAGGTTTTATGAAAGTAAGGAAGAACTACAAGGCTCAATGGCAGTTTTTCTATTTTTATAAAGATTTTATTTATTTATTTTTAGAGCGTGGAAGGGAGGGAGACAGAGGGAGAGAAACATCAATGTGTGGTTACCTCTCATGCGCCCCCTACTGGGAACGTGAACGGCCACTCAAGCATGTGCCCTGACTGGGAATCCAAACGGCCACCCTTTGGGTTGCAGGCCGCTCAATCCACTGAGCCACACCAGCCAGGGCTGAATGGCAGTTTTCAGTAAGATGGAGATTTGCAGAACAAGTGCTAAGATAACTAAACATACAATATTTAAAATCAAGAGGCGGCTATAAACAGCTGTATGCAGTAAAGCTCTGGAGCCAGAGGACCCAGGTAGGAATCCCAGCTCCACTTCCTTGACCTCAGTCACTGTGCAGGGAAGGGTCAAGTGGGAAGTCCTATCCATGCTCTCTAAATGACTCTCAGGGTTATTCGTCTCTGTATCTCATCCTCTCTCACCTCTCACCTCTTACTACAGCCACTACCTTAGTCATGTTAACTAGTTGCACCGCCTCCTTCTTTAATACAATGCTTCTATTTCATTAGAACCAGAAAAGAATTCCCAAACCTGACTAATTGTAAGATTCCTGAGCCCCAACCCGTGAGATTCTGATGCAGTAGTTGGTCCCAGACCATACTTTTATTTATTTTTAATTTTTTTATCCTCACCTAAAGACATTTTTTTCATTTTTTTTCGGGAGGGAGGGGGAGAGAGAGAAAGAGAGAGAGAGAGAGAGGGAAAGGAAGAGAAAGAAACATTGATGTGAGAGAGCATTGATTGGTTGCTTCTCTTATGCACCCAGATCGTATGAGCTGGGACCAGGGATTGAACCACAACCTAGGTACGTGCCCTGACTGGAAATTGAACCTACAAGCTTTAAGTTATAGGATGACACTCCAACAAACTGAGCCACACTGGCCAGGACCCACACCATACTTTTAAAACCACCACTTTCTGCCCTGGCTGGTATGGCTCAGTGGATTGAGTGCCGGCCTGTGAACCAAAGGGCTGTCAGTTCAATTCTCAGTCAGGACACATGCCTGGGTTGCAGGCCAGGTCCCCATTTGGGAGTGTATGAAAGGCAACTACACATTGGTGTTTCTCACCCTCTCTTTCTCCCTCCCTCCCTTCCTCTCTCTCTAAAAACAAATAAATAAAATCTTTTAACAAAAAGAAAATACAGTTTCTTAAAAAGTGGATCATGCTATTTTCCTGCTTAAAACCCTTCAGCAGCTGTTGATTGCTCTATACATACCTTCACACTCAGAAGGTGATCAGCACATGTTTGGTGGATGAATGAATAAATGAAAGAATGAATATTAAAAGAATAATCCTGATGAGGTGTTGCAAGACCTGGATTCAAATCCCAGCTTTTCTAGCTCCACCATTAACTAGTTATGTGCTTTTAGGCAAGTTACCTAACCTCTCTCTGACACTGTCATTTCAGTAAAATGTAGATAGTCATACCTGCCTGCCTACCTTACAAGGCTGGGGTCAGCATACAAGTCAGATAATGTCAACGAATGTATATTGTGGCCCTGATTGGTGTGGCTGAGTTGGTTGGGTGTGGTCCTGTAAAGCAAAAGGTCCTTGGTTCAATTCCCAGTCAGAGCACAAGCCTGGGTTGTGGGCCCAGTTCCAGGTCAAGGCATGTACGAGAGGCAACCGATCAAAGTTTCTTTCTCATATCAATGTTTCTCTTCCTCTCTTTCTCCACTCCATCTCCTCTCTCTAAAAATAAATAAATAAAATCTTGCCCTGGCTGGTGTGGCTCAGTGGACTGAGCACCAACCTGTGAACTGAAAGGTTGCTGGTTCTATTCCAAGTCAGAGCATATTCCTGGGTTGCAGGCCAGGATGCTGGCTGGGGCTGTGTGAGAGGCAACCAACTGATGTTTCTCTTGCACATTCATGTTTCTCTTCCTCTCTTTCTCCCTCTCTTCCTCTCTCTCTGAAAATAAATAAATATATACATACATAAATATTTTTTTAAATCTTAAAAAAAGAAGAAGAATAGAAAAGAAATAAAGAAATTAGCCCTGGCTGGTGTGGCTCAGTGGATTGAGCACTGACCTGCAAACCAAAAGGTCACCAGTTCGATTCCCAGTCAGGGCACATACCTGGGTTGCAGGCCAGGTCCTCCGCTTGGGGGTATGCGACAGGCAACCAATCGATGTGTCTGTCCAATCGATGTGTCTGTTACACATACTGATGTTTCCTTCCCTCTCTTTCTCCCTCCCTTCCCCTCTCTCTAAAAGTAAATAAATAAAATGTTTTAAAAAATAAAATAAAACAATTTAAAGAAGAAAGTATATGGTAGAATGGTGGACTAGACACATAGAAACATCAAGGTGAATCATCTTTAAAAGGTTTACAAATGCATATATAATATATATACTCAGTCCTGGGTTTCCCTCAAATGAGGGAATTTTACTTGTTATTCCTTGTGAAGTTTAATGGTGAGGCTTGGGGTTGGAGCATGTGGAACAAAAGAATAAGAAAAATCTACACAAATTATTTCCTAGGGGAAAACTTCCCTGACCCTTGGACTTTGTCTGGTACCTCTATTGTATAGAAATTGTTCTCATCACATGGTATTTCTTTTCTTCAATAAGAGTTTATTATTACTTCATTATTTTCATAATTTCTTGATTAATGCCTCTTTCCCCCACTAGCCCTTGAGCTCTGTAAATGTAAACAATTATGTCTATTTTTCTCAACATCATTCTTGTACTGGGCATATAGTAAGTATTCAGGTAATATTTGTTTTAAATCCTCAACCTATAAATCTGGGTAATACTCTTTATTTCTCCAAGATAAACACACCAAGCTTGTTGGGTCTTTTTATTTCTTGGCCTCAGCTTTCTCATCTATAAAATGTGGATAATATCCACCTCAGAGGCATGTTTATGAGGATCAAAGAAGATCATATATATTTTTAAAAAACAGCCCTGGCTAGTGTGGCTCAGTTGGTTGGAATCTTGTCCAGTAATCTGAAAGGTTGAGGGTTTGATTATTGGTCAGGGCACATACTTAGATACAGGTTAGGCATCTGATCAATGTTTCTCTCTCACATTGATGTTTCTTTCCCTCTCTCCCTCCTTTCCCCTCACTCTAAAATAAATAAGCATGTCCTTGGGTGAGGATAAAAAAATTGAAAATAAAATAAAGAACACTATGCAACAGTGTTAAGCAAACAATAGTAATTATCACCAAAAAAGTGAATTTGTACAAATTTCAACTTCTTCTTAATAAAACTCAACTAAATTAACTAAAAAGGAAAGCCATGATCTAGTGATTAGTTTCAAAACAATGTGAATTTACTTAACACTAATGAATTGGACACTTATAAAGAGTTAAGATAATAAATGTTATATATATCTTACCACAACTTAAACATTTTTAAAAAGTCATGAAGTGCGGATATAGCTTTTTGATTTTTATTTATTGATTTGTGTGTGAGAGAGAGAAAGATTGATTTGTTGTTCCACTTATTTATGCATTTATTGGTTGTTTCTTGTATGTGCCCTGACCAGGAATCAAACCTGCAACTTTGGCACATCGGGATGATGCTCTAACCAACTGAGAGACACCATCAAGCCAGGGAATATAGTTTACATATGAAGAGTTAATGTGCATACTACATAAAAAGCTTATTTTTAATCCTATCTTTCTAAACTTTGGTAAATGGTTAAGGACACAGGTAGGCTCATGTTATAAACTCCAGTGTTCCCAAATCTACCTCTCATTAGCTTCTGGAAAGGTCTTTCTAAAACATA